TGCACTGCAGACTCGCCCTGAATTCTTTCTTGTGAGAGATCCAAGAACCCTCTCTTGCGGTCTGGATTGGGACCCCTTTCCAGTAACAATAATACACACTAATTGAAAAATACTGAAGCCTATCTCAGGATACGTACTATATTACCAAGGTAGTCTTTCCAACTGTTAAAAATATAGGCTGCACCCGGGCGCGGTGGCTCATGCCTGTAATCCCAGCACTTTAGGAGTCCGAGGCAGGCAGATCACCTGAGGTTAGGAGTGGAAGACCAGCCTGACCAACACGGAGAAACCCCATTCCTACTAAAAATACAAAATTAGCTGGGCATGGTGGCATGCCTGTAATCCCAGCTACTCGGGAGGCTGAGGCAGGAGAATCGCTTGAACCCGGGAGGCAGAGGTTGCAGTGAGCCAAGATCATGCCATTGCACTACAGCCTGGGCAACAAGTGAAAATCCATCTCAAAAAAAAAAAGAAAAAAAAATATGTATATGCAAGGTTTTTTTTTTTTTTTTCGGTTTTATTTATTTATTTATTTTGAGATGGAGTCTTGCTTTGTCACCCAGGCTGGAGTGCAGTAGCCCAATCTCGGCTCACTGCAACCTCCACCTCCTGAGTTCAAGCGATTCTCCTGTCTCGGCCTCCCGAGTGGTTCAGACTACAGGCGCACACCACCACGCCCAGCTAGTTTTTTTTTGATTTTTAGTAGAGACAGGGTTTCACCGTGTTGGCCAGGATGGTCTCGATCTCCTGACCTCAGTTGATCTGCCCACCTCAGCCTCCCAGAGTGCTGGGATTACAGGCGAGAGCCACTGCACCCAGCCTATTTTTATTTTTATTTTTTATTTATGTATTTATTTTTTTGAGAGGGAACCTAGCTCTGTCACCCAGGCTGAAGTGCAATGGTGAGATCTCAGCTCACTGCAGCCTCTGCCTCCTGAATTCAGGCAACTCTTCAGCCTCAGCCTCCCAAGTATCTGGAACTACAGGCATGGACCACCACACCCAGCTAATTTTTGTATTTTTAGTAGAGATGGGGTTTCACCATGTTGGCCAGGCTGATCTCTAACTCCTGGGCTCAAGTGATCTACCCACCTCAGCCTCCCAAAGTGCTGGGAATACAGGCATGAGCCACCGCACCCAGCCCCAGCATTTGGTTTTATTGTTGAGAGATACAATGCAACGTCAAGTGAGGATCAAGTGATCTCGCCTCAGCCTCCTGAGTAGCTAGAACTAGAGGCACACACTACCACACCTGGCTAATTTTTTGTAGAAATTGGTCCCACTATGTTACCCAGGCTGGTCTCCACCTCTGGGCCTTCCAAAGTACTGGATTATAGGCAGTCCTCAATCTAATCTTCATCTCTCCCCACTTAACTAGGACTAATGATGCATTCCTAGCAGCTTGCCATATGTCTGCTAACATCCCATTGGCCAAACAAGCCACATGGCTCAGCCCAAGATTAGAGAATTACGCCCTGATGTTATGTGGGAGGGCACTGCAAAGTTACTTGGCTGAGGGTATGGATACAAGGGAGGGTGAAGAATTGGCCATTAATGCCCTCAGAGTCTGAGTGTGTGAATGCCCTCCTGTGGAACCTAGGCTGTCAACTCCAGTACACATGTTGAAGAGATAATGAAAGACATGTTCTGCAGGACAGGGGGTTGCAACCCCTGGGCCATGGACTGGTACCCTCGGTGGCCTGTTGGGAACTGGCCGCACAGCAGGAGGTAAGCAGTGGTGAAGGAGCATTACTGCCTAAGCTCTTCCTCCTGTCAACCAGCAGGGGCTTAAGATTCTCCTAGGAGCACAAACCCTGTTGTGAATTGCACATGTGAGGGATCTGGGATCTAGGTTGCATGCTTCTTTTGAGAATCTAATGCCTGGTGATCTGAGGTGGGACAGTTGCACCCCGAAACCATTCCTCTCCCCCATCCATCTGGGGAAAAATTGTCTTCCACAAAATGAGTTTCTGGTGCCAAAATGGTTGGGGATCATGCTCCAGAACACAGTTGCAAAAGATAGTCTCCCCTCATGGAGCAAGGTAAAATGCTTCTTCGCTGACAGATAACTTGACTATGAACAAATCATTTTTAGCTGTCTAACCACATTAGGGGTAACCTACCCAAGCTCCTTCAATCTGAGATCACCACATTCCTAGTAATATAGGGACTATGGCCTTCAGAATTGTCATGCGAGACAGCTTGGGAGTAACAGTCCGACTCAGAAGGCCATCCCAAAGGACTTGTCTGGAAACTATCTTTCCACATCAAGCATATAAATACATTTAATTTAAGAGATGAGGACTCACTATGTTACCCAGGCTTAAGCGCAGTGGCTATTCACAGGAGCATTATAGCTCACTGCAGCTTCAAACTCCTGGCCTCAAGCGATCTTCCTGCCTCAGGCTCCCAGGGGGAAGGCTCCATGGAACCCAACTACAAGCATGATGTTTTTACTTAAAGTATAAGTTACGTATCAATACAAAATAGTAAATACTAAACACTTTTGCAAAACTTACACAAGATTGAGAAACTTTCTGTTACTCCTACAAATGAATTCTACTATTATTGCTCACCTCTGGAATTGCTTTTGGTGACACAGGTGGTGATTTGGGTAGCTGACCCATCTTCTAGGCATTCCTTGACATCCACACTGTCATCAGCATCTGGAGGTTTGACATTTTGACCCTTCTGCAGTCTTGAAAGTGACTGAGGGGGCCGAGCATGGTGGGTCTCTCCTGTAATCCCAGCACTTTGAGAGGCTGAGGCAGGCTGATCACCTGAGGTCAGGAGTTCAAGATCAGCCTCACCAACACGGTGAAACCTCATCTCGACTAAAAATACAAGATTTAGCCAGTGTGGTTGCGTGCGTCTGTAGTCCTAGCTACTTGGGAGGCTGAGATAGGAGAATCGCTTGAATCTGGGAGACAGAGGTTGCAGTGAGCTCAGATTGTGCCACTGCACTCCAGCCTGGGGAACAGAGTGAGACTCTGTCTCAAAAAAAAAAAAAAAAAAGAAAGAAAAAGTGACTAAGTGACTGAGTGACTGTGAGGTACTAACATTGGTTTTTTATGCTCCACAAAAACACCAGTTTCACTATCTTAGACTCACAATGATCAATTATCAGCTGGATATGGAATCAACTTTAAAATGATATGTGGCTCTACACTGTAAATTATACTAATTTGACATGTTAGAATAAAATCCAAAGTAGATTTAAATGAAGCAGTTTAATTAGGGCAGTTGATTCATAATACTTTCAAGAAGCACTTAAGTCTTATAAGAGGTCATTGAACTGACTCCTGGGACAGTTTCCCGTTTTATCACACTCAGGATCTGCGGATATCTCCAGTGCCCTAGTTGTAAGCTTGTGCCAAAGGCAGTCAGTACATTTTGCATCCAGGGAGACTTTCTGTTGTGGTATTTCCCATGTTTATTGCCATTTAATTAAGGTAAGTAAGGATATATACATTTTTAGTTTAAATTCTATTCCTTTTCACTTCTGTGTGTCAGAATTCAACTTCGGGGAGTTGGTTTTCACTACAGTTGTTGTTTTTCCGATATTCTGTTTTTTGTTTTTTTTTTGGAGACGGAGTTTTGCTCTTGTTAACCAGGCTGGAGTGCAATGGCGCGATCTCGGCTCACCGCAACCTCCGCCTCCTGGGTTCAAGCAATTCTCCTGCCTCAGCCTCCTGAGTAGCTGGGACTACAGGCACGCACCACCATGCCCAGCTAATTTTTTGTAGTTTTAGTAGAGACGGGGTTTCACCATGTTGACCAGGATGGTCTCGATTTCTGGACCTCGTGATCCACCCGCCTCGGCCTCCCAAAGTGCTGGGATTACAGGCGTGAGCCACCGCTCCCGGCCTGTCTTTTACTTTTGACTCTGAATTATTTGGGGCTTACAGAAAAGTTGCAAAAATAGTAAATTTTTCACGTGTACCTCTCTTCACTTCTCCTAATGCTGGCACCGTACATTACCACAAGCAAGTATCAAAACCAGGAAATTAACCTGTGTACAATACTATTTATTAAACTACACTCCTTATTTTAATCATTTTTTTCCACTAATGTCTTTTTTTCCGTTCCAAGATCCTGTCTGAATCTTACATAAGCATTTAGGGATTGTTTGACCTCGGTTCCCTGCAGTGAGTTACAAACAGTTCTTCAGCAGCTCCTTATTTTTCACAATTCTGAATTGGTCAGAATTATGAAATTGATCTGAATTGTTTAGAATTGATCAACTGAGGAAAACTGATCAGCTATTTTGTTGAACATTCCTCAGCTTAGATTTGTGATAGGCTTCTTTTACTTAGCATGTTTTCAAAGTTTTTCCACGTTGCAGTGTAAGTCTTCACTCCATTCCAGGGAGAAATAATACTTCATTGTATTATCAGTTGATGGACATTTAAGTTGCTCCCATTTTTTGGCTATTATGAAGAGTGGAGTTGTGAACATGTATGTATTTGTTTTTATGGTCAATATATATTTTTATTTTTACTTTTCATTATACCTAGGTGTGGAATTACTGGGTCATAGGGCAGCCGTGGGTTTAACATTTTGGGGATGTGACTTTTCCAAAGCAGCTGCACCATGTTACATTCCCACCAGCAGTGTAAGAGGCTCTCAGTTGCTTCCCATCCGTGCCTACACTTGCTATATGTCTGTTTGATGATAGCCATCATAGCGGGTATGATGCCCTTTTTTTTTTGAGACAGGGTCTCACTCTGTTGCCCAGGCTGGAGTGCAGTGGTGCAATCATGGCTCACTGCACACTCAACCTCCCGGGCACAAGCAAGCCTCACACCTTCACCTCCCAAATAGCTGGGACTACCAGTGCACAACACTATGCCCAGCTAAGTTTCACATATTTTTTGACACAGATATGGTCTCGCCTTGTTGCTCGGGCTGGCCTTAAACTCCTGGGCTCAAGCAATCCACCCACCTCAGCCTCCCAAACTGCTGGGATTACACGCATGACCCACCATACCCAACTGCCTCTTAACTTTTTTTAAGAATTCTGCATATTTGAGAATATTGGCCTTTTGTCTGTGGTGTATGTTGTGAATATTTTCTCCCAAGCTGTCATCGGTTGTCTTTTGACTTGATTCATAAAACTGTGATCACACAAATTTATTAAAAAATTTATTTTGTGGCCAGACGCAGTGGCTCACACCTGTAATCCCAGCACTTTGGGAGATGGAGGCGGGTGGATCATGAGGTCAGGAGATCAAGACCATCCTGGCTAACACAGTGAAACCCCATCTCTACTAAAAATACAAAAAATTAGCCGTGCATGGTGGCACCCACCTGTAGTCCCAGCTACTCAGGAGGCTGAGGCAAGAGGCTGCAGTGAGCCAAGACCGTGTCACTGCACTCCAGCCCGGCCGACAAAGAGAGACTCTGTCTCAAAAAAAAAATTTTTATCTTTATCCTTGTGATCTGAGATGCCGCCTTTGTCATATCCTAAGTTTCCATATGTATTTGGGTCTAACTTTACATTTTGTTCTACCAGGCTGTTTGCCCATTTAATCACCAGTACCACACCTCATAGGCATGGTATAATTATAGCACCTCATAGGACCTCACAGGTGTTAATACCTCAGACAGCCCACCCTCTCACGTAGTTTTTCTTTTGAGTGTTTTCTTGGTTATTCCTGTATGTTTGTTTTTCTGTGTGTGTGTGTGTGTGTGTGTGTGTGTGTGTGTGTGTGTGTTTGAGGAGACGCGTGGAGTTCTTTAATTTCAAAGGCAAAAGGTGACATTTAATGAAAGGCAGAGGTTGGATTAATAAACATGTGTTACAAAGTTGTTCTGCTACAGAGTGAACTCTGGATTTTTCTCCTGCATAAAAATCAGAGCTAGCAGTAAGTGCAAATCTGAAGAAAATCCATGTGCCCAACAAGCTGCCATCTCTAGAACACTTACCCAGGAAATTCAAAGAGCCAACATTCTTTCAGTCTCCTAGCCTCAATTAAGTAAATGGGAATGATTCAGCCAACAAAGTTCATGACAACAAGGTGCAGGATGGTGCCGGCAAAGAGAAAATCAGCAAAGGCTCGCCCTGGGGAGATGCCTTGGAAGTCCGCTTTGTTCTGTGGGTTAATCTGTATTCTCAGGCAAACCGCTAGGATGAACTCCCCACACAAGAGATGAAGCCCGAGAGAAAAGAGTTGAAGGGGAAGGTCCCCACGAGGAGGCAGTGGCCGAATTGCAGCGCCCCGGTCAGCAGTATGTACAGCAGGTACGCGTCCAGCAACTTCAGGCGCTGCAGAGTGGGGCTCAAGTACCCTCCTAAGAACCGCGAAATGACGGACCCTACCGACGCCGACAGGACTGCACTCAGGATACTGGGATCAAGGCCCGACGACCACAGCGGATGTATTGTTTGCCTGTATGTTTGTTTTTCTGTATACACTTTGGTTTCAATCAGTCTAACTCTATAAAATGATTTGTTGCTATGTTTATTGGTATTCCATTAAATTTACAAATAACCTAGGGAGAACTTGTATCTGCATAATGTCCAGTCATATTATCCAAGAACAAAGGATGTCTTTCCGTTTATTCAAGTCTCTTTTCATATCTTCCAGGAGTAGGTGCCATCTCCTCATACAGCTCTTGCACATTTCTTACGGTTCATCTTAATCCTGAATATGCTTGTTTGCTACTATAGTAAATGAAATTGTTTCTAATATTATGCCTTCTATATGTAAAAGCTATTGATTTTTGTATTCTAATTTTATATCCTACTACTTTGCTGAATTATTTTATTGTTTGAATTAACTTTATCACTGATTTTTCTGGAGATTTCCAGGTGTACTATCATATCACCCACAATACACAGTTTCGCTTCTTTTTTAAAAAATCCATTCTTTTGTCTATATAAGTTGAATACTCCTTATCCAAAATGCTGGCCAGGCATGGTGGCTCATGCCTGTAATCCCAGCAATTTGGGAGGCTGAGGTGGGAGGATCCCTTGAGCCCAGGAGCTCAAGACCAGCCTGGGCAACATAGTGAGACACACTCTCCCTACAAAAAAATTACTAACATTAACTGGCGTGGTAGTGCACACCTGTAGTCCCAGCTATTCAAGAGACTGAGGCAGGAGGATTGCTTGAGCCCAGGAGGTCAAGGTTGCAGTGAGCTGTGATAGCACTACACTCCAGCCTGGGCAACAGAGTGAGACCCTATCACACTCACACTCACACACACACACACACACACACACAGACACACACAAGCAAAAACAAGATACTTGGGATTTCAGATTTTTTTGGATTACAGAATTTTTGCATATACATAGTGAAATATCTTAGGGATGAGACTTAAATCTAAACACGAAGTTCATTTACATTTCATGTACACCTTATACACATAGCCTGAAGGTAATTTTATGCAACGTTTTAAATAAAAGTAAAGGTGTGTGTACATTGAACCATCAGAGGGAAAGATGTAACTATCTCAGCTACCCATGTGGACATTCCCATCCTTCCTCTGAATTTATATGCTACCGATAAGCAATCATTTTCTTAAACTTACTCACACATACATACTTACCAGTAGAAAATATCACATTCCATTAATGCAGTGAAAAAATACTGTGTTCAGAGCATCCAAGCAGCACAGCAGCAACAACAGATACCTGCATCAGCGGCCAAAGGACGGCAGCTTCCGGTCTCCACCTATGGTGCTGCGTTTTGATTAAAAGGCTACTGTACACTGCATCTTCTTTTTTTTTAAGTGAAAAGAAACATCCGAAGCAGCTGAAGGGTCAGGAAGTGGGTCCTGTGGGGGTGAGGTGGCATCTGCCAGATGGCATTTCAGAATGTTTCCTCCAGCATCATCTGCCCATTAACAACAGTATGTCTTAGACGCCTCTCTTCATTGTATAAACTGAAATGATTCCTTGTTTGGTTGTGAATGCACACTGCTCTAGTTTCAGTAAGCCCATCACACATTTTATAGCGCACCAGGTCCACTATAGGTGCTTTTTCTATAGTGTTAACATCACCATCGTCACTGTCACGATTATCACAATCACCTTGATTCAGAACCAATTCAGCTATTTCACCCTCAGTTAGTGAAGGAACAAGGCTCATTATTGATATTAAAAACAGCTTCAGGGTCGGGCACGATGGCTCACGTCTGTAATCCTAGCACTTTGGGAGGCCAAGGTGGGCGGATCATGAGGTCAAGAGATCGAGACCATCCTGGTCAACATGGTGAAACCCTGTCTCTACTAAAAATACAAAAATTAGCTGGGCGTGGTGGTGCGAGCCTGTAATCCCAGCTACTTGGTAGGCTGAGGCAGGAGAATCGTTGGAACCTGGGAGGCAGAGGTTGCAATGAGCCGAGATCGTACCATTGCACTCCAGCTTGGGCAACAAGAGTGAAACTCCGTCTCAAAAAAAAAAAAATAAAATCTTCAAGATCCACTTTTTTCAGCTTATTGACACTCTTAAGGAATATTCTTTTGCACAGGTAATGAAGTCAGATATCATTGTTTTCTCACTTGACTAGGGAATTCTTCAAAGTTACCACCTCGTTCATCATTGGACGTAGTTGCAGGCCAAAGCTTGTGCCAGGCATGTACAACTGTGTCTTTAGTCACTGTCTTCCAAACTTTGACAACAACATATATGGTACCCTTCATGCTAAACTCCGTGTGAAAACCTTCCACTACCACACCTCTGTTCTGCTAGAATGCTGTTTAAGAAAGTATGTTTAGGCAGGGCGCAGTGGCTCAAGCCTGTAATCCCAGCACTTTGGGAGGCCGAGGCGGGTGGATCACGAGGTCAAGAGATTGAGACCATTCTGGTCAACATGGTGAAACCCCGTCTCTACTAAAAATACAAAAAATTAGCTGGGCATGGTGGTGCGTGCCTGTAGTCCCAGCTGCTCAGGAGGCTGAGGCAGGAGAATTGCCTGAACCCAGGAGGCGGAGGTTGCGGTGAGCCGAGATGGCGCCATTGCACTCCAGCCTGGGTAACATGAGTGAAACTCCGTCTCAAAAAAAAAAAAAAAAAAAGAAAGTATGTTTATATGTACTTTTCATGGATCTAAGGATACCCCAGTCACATGGCTGAATTAATGAAGTCGCATTTGGAAGAAAGTACATGGAACACAATTTTTTTTTTTTTTTTTTGAGATGGAGTCTTGCTTTGTCACCCAGGCTGGAGTGCAATGGTGCAGTCTCAGCTCACTGCAACCCCTGCCTCCCGGGTTCAGGCGATTCTCCCGTCTCAGCCTTCCGAGTAGCTGGGATTACAGGTACCCACCACCACGCCCAGCTAATTTTTTTGTATTTTTTGTAGAGACAGGATTTCACCATGTTGGCCAGGCTGGTCTCGAACTCCAGACCTCAGGTAATCCACCTGTCTCAGCCTCCCAAAGTGCTGGGATTACAGGCATGAGCCACTGTGCCCAGCCAGTACAAACATTTTTGATGAAAATTTCAGCTGGGGAATGAGCAAAATAGGTATCAAAGAATAACAAAATCTTATAGTCCTTAGTTTAGTTTCTCTGCAGTGAGCACATGCCACTGGTACAAAACGTTTGTGAAACAATTAGAAAAACTGTCCCTGATGATCCCTGCCTTTTTGTTAGCAGAACAATTAACTGGTAAAAAATTCACTCCTTGGAAACAGCAAGCTTTTCACTTGCCTGTCACAAGCAAGTTTATACTTACGTGTGCCTGCTGCACGAGCACATTGCAACATAGTTACTCTGTCCTTGGCATCCCTAATTCCTGTTGGGGCTGTCTCACCATCTGTAGTCAATGCATCTCTGGGGTAACAACAGCAAAACAGTCATGTTTCATCAGCATTATAGACTTGTTCTGCTGTTAGATTTTCATCAGCAATAACCTTGGCACACTAGTTAGTGAATTTCTCTGCTGCTTCATGATCAGCAGATGTTTTATCACCACCAATCTTTTTTTTTTGCTTTTTTTTTTGAGGCGGAGTTTCGCTCTTGTTACCCAGGCTG